CTTGAACTGACTGTTGACATGTTGTGAAATTGTAATTACAATTCTTAGTTGCACAGATACATAGTGATGATATGTTGTAGAATTCATAAGACCGCGGTGTACATGTACCATATCCAACATCGCTTGCCGATGAAAATCCTGTACAACGTTGTGTCAGTTGTTCATAGGTATTTGTTATACTACTTACGTCATATAGTGTATGATCATATTGGGAACCATTGTTGTAATAAACTGTGTCTCGTTTAATAATACAATATTGTATTTGATTTTGATTTAGAGTTGTCATCGCAACGTTACTAATAGAACTAAATTGAGCAGTCAGATAAAGACTTGTATTAACCGCAGAATAAACTCCCACATAACATGTCATGAAATTTGTTGAATATAAGTTTGGGACAGATAGAAAGAAAGCAATTGTGGGGTTAATCCAGCCCAAACAAATTAGAACCAAAAGGTACAACATGATGACGATATTTTGTTTTACTGACAAAATAACGATGAATTTTTCACTAGATATTTAGTCAAAAATTGTGTTCACGACTTTCACTTTGTTGTAGAATATTTTTGTTACAGAAGCAGTAAGAGAAGTGTAAGTTTGTTTGTTTGTTTTCTTTTCTTTTGGCAATTAATTCAAGAGATGTTACATTAAAATTTTCAACAAAAAACTTTAACATGAAAACGAGAACAAAAGCATATTGTCAGGAAAACAAAAAACAGTGCGTAGCACCTGTAAGTCTTTTGCCACCTTTACACTACCACAATCATATTTGCAGGTGTTGGCGCAAACGAGTTTTGAAGTCTTTAATAGTGGAAGAGCTCACTACAGCCTCAGGTAGGGTCGTATTCCACTCCCGAGCAGTTCGGTAAACGAAACTGCTGAGGATGGTCTTAGTTCGAGCAGAAGGAACCTCGACTTGAGCTTGATGTAGAGTGTTACGATTCGATTGTCTGTCTGGATTATGTCTGATAATGCCTAATCTAGAGAGAGAGGAGAATCCTCTAAAATTTTTGAAAAAGAGAACGAGCCGGAAATATTTACGTCTCACCGAAAGCAAAGAAATGTTTAATTTGTTCACTACGTCAGATCCTGCACTATTAAAATCCCGTGTGATCATATGTGCAGCCAAGCGTTGAACAGATTCTAGACGGGTATTGTTATTTGCAAAGTCACTATCATATAATGCACATGCATAGTCCATCTTACTCAAAATGCAAGTTTTATAGATTTGAAGCTGGACGTGAGCAGTTGCTTCTTTAAATTGGCGATACATCGCTCGACATTGTCTACAAGACGAAGTGTATATACAAGACTGTCAATTATCTCTAGAGCTCTAGAGATAATCTCTATTGTCTTTTTCTCTATGTGATTGTTAAATAAACAGCACGGCTTCTTCATAATATATACTTATTCACAGCGATATGAAACACAAACAGCGTAAATCGCATATTATTGTTATTCTAAATCCTTTCAAAAATATTTGTTCAAGGAAGAATATTTAAAAAAAAACAGGTGACAAGTGAGCAAGTGCTGAAGAAATTAGGCCATTTATGATCATCCTTGAACTCCATTCAAAAGCTTACCTGTGTAAACATTTTAAGAGTTGAAAGTTTTGTGGACTTCGACAAGTATTCCATAAATACAGAGCAAGGTCTTTAAAGGAAGATCTCCCTTGCTATTTCACCAGCTTGTAGAGGACACTTTGAAATGTGAATTCTGAAATATTTTCTATGATCAGACTTGAACGTTTGGGGAGAAAATTTTTGTACTGTTTTTCAGGAATTTTAGATCCGTTTTTAAACAAATTTGCAAAAAATTCAAAAATACAAGTTGAACGTTCCATTTATACTGAGCTCCAAAGAGCACCCTACAAAAGAAATTTCGGTGCGCACCGATGCGGATGGCATGCCATCGGTCATTGACACTGGCTGGTACCGATGTGCATGGTACTCGGATGTTTTTTGAATAACTTTTGATAGAAGCCAGGTAGAGAGCTTCGACTTTCGTCATGCGAAAGAAAAGACTTTGAGGCATGTTTTCATAAGCAGAAACATTTTTCAGAAGTGTTTTCTGAAACAGGTATTCTAGAAGGTCTTTGAAAAACGAGGCCGTGTGTAAAAACTTTTCAGTAGGATTGTTTTGATTTTCCTCCATGGTCAGATAGCCCAAGGTTTTCTCTTCAAAATGAGAGTCGAGCGAAATCTTGATTTTCTGGGGCTCCGGTATTGTGTCGGATTTCCTATGAGCCTTAGGATTGGCACCCGCTGACTATTGGTAGTCTTGAAAACGGATGGACTATAGGTAATCGATCATGTTGAGTCTCGTGGCAATAGTTATTTCTAGAAAAAGTTCTCTCTACTGAAAAGCGAGTTTTACGAAACTTTGGGTTTCCAGGCTGTTTCACCTAATATTAAAAAATTCACTATTCACTTAATAAACATCAGAACGAGTTCAAAATTTCAGGTTAATTTTCTCCACTAAACGTGATTGTAAGACCGAAAAATCGAAAAATCATATTTTTGTTATTGGGTTTTTCAGAAACGCTATTGGAAAACCTTAAGGTTTTGTAAAATTTCTTTTGAGAACTGCTATAAATAGGATATAGAATAACTTAAATACTCTACATTCTGAAGTTCTGAAGTCCACGAGTCGAATCTCAAAATAACTCTATTTGCTACAGACGATCCAAACACCTATTGATAATGATCGTTATGACAAGATGCTAAAGAGGGCCTAAATCTTTGCAGATTAGGTAATCATCCTAGAGAACGTACGGTGCAGCTAATGCAAAATTCGAGTGGGTTTTATTTTTCGATTTGTCATACATATTCTGATTCGTCTTGTACAGCTGATCACGAATATCACCTTTAAAATATTTAAAAGTCCTTTTTTCATGGAGAAAAACTCGAAATACTACAAAGGTCTAAAAAATCGACCTTTATCGTAGAATTGACCTTTTTGAAGTTTTATTACAAGATGGAAGGTTGAAACTATTTTTTTCTGAATGAGCGTTGAAAACTGATTTAGAAAAAAGTTTTCA